TCCTATACAACTGTAACATGACCTGCCAACTCTTGTACTCAATACCCCGTCTGATGAATGAAAGCATGCCGTATGCCTCCTTGACCATTCTATTGACCTGTGTTGCCACCTTCAGGGTACAACGGACCTGAACACCCAGATCTCGCTATGCATCAATTTTCCCCAGGGCTTTTCCATTTACCGTATAGTTTGCTCTTGAATTGGACAAAAAACAAATGTGGGGGGAATTGCAGTGTCTATTTTTTTTTTAGAAAAAGCTTTTTTATTCTTTCATTGGATGTGGGCATCACTGGCAAGGACAGTTGTCAGTTTGTTGCCCATCCCTAATTACCTTTTGAACTGAGTGGTCTGATTGACCGTTCAAAGGTCAGTTAAGGGTCAGCCACATTGTTGATCTAGAATCACCTGTAGGCAGGATCAGACAAGAACCTTAGATTTTCTTTTCTGAAGGATATATGAGCCAGATTTATTGAAATCAATGTAATGACACTGTTACTGAGACTAACTTTAATTTCTAGATGTTTATTAATTGAATTTAGATTCCACCAGCTTCTGTAACAGGATTTGAGCTTGTGTCCCCAGAGCATTAGGTTAAATCTGTGGATTATTAGTCCTGTGACATTACCACTACACCACACCTCCCACTTAAGTTGTAACTGACCACACAAATTCAGAAAACATGTGCACTAAAGTGCCACTTGTGATTACTTTCTCTTTCAGACCAAAACTCCCTTTTCATCAGAATCAGTTAACAGTACTGGTTTCTTGAAAAACTATACAAGAAGAAATCAAGGCAGTGGTTTTGCTAAAACTTTGAAAGGAAATGCAACTGGACTCAACATGCTGGGGTCTGGCAAGAAACCAAGGTCTGTTAAATTTATAAACTCATTTAAATTCAAGCATATCAGATGAGCAATATTTTCTGTAGGCTCTCTAGCCAGTGCTTTTTGTTTGCATTCAAAACACGTTAGTGACACTGCATTGATTCAGGATGCTAAGGTGTGTGGACAAGCTAAAATAATCATTGTGGTCTTTTGAACAAAGATTTCATACAACACAGAAGGAGGCCATTTGACTCATTGTGCCTGTGCCAGGTTTTTAATAGAAACAAACTAAGTCCACTCACCTACTATTTTCCTATACCTCTATTGTTTTCCTTTTCAAGTATTTATCCAATTCATTTTTGACAGTTACTATTGTATCTTTCACCACTGTCAGGCAGTGCATTTCAGATTATGGTAGCTCCAGATTAAAGGAATGTTTCCTTGTGGTGCCTCTGATCATTTTGTCAATCAACTTAAATCTATCACTTTAGCAACACGTTTCATTTATAAAGCTGAAATGAAAACAAAAAATTCTGGCAATACTCAGGTCGGCAGTGCCTGCAAGAAAGAAACCGTCAGTTGAAACACTTGTTGTTCTCTCCGCAGATGAGACTGGTTTTTCTATTTTTATTTTTCACCGTCATTTGCTTACCGACTTTTCTGCCCTTAGAAAGCATTTCCAATATGCTTTTACAGCAAGTTTATATTTCTAAATGAGTTTACTTGAGTGTTATTATGAGGTCTCTGGCTTTTATTTGTACTAAATTATGTGCATGTTTTATGCAACTTGTTGAATATACGTAATACCAAATTCCCATGAGACATTATATGTGGAATTTTCAAAATAATCCTGTTGTGACTCCATCAAATTATAGAGAAGAAACTTGTAGAGAACATAGAACCCTTTTTCAGTTATTTTTTATAGATATATGAAGAGAGAAAAATGGAAGACAAATGTATTGAAAACAACCAGTGCTGGCAATCAGTGGGTCAGACAGCATCCATGGAGAGAGAGCAAGCTAATGTTTCTAGTCTAGGTGACTCTTCTTCAGAGCTGAAGTGAAGTGTGGAGGAGACAGCATTTATGCTATAGTTTGAGGTAGGGGATGTGTGGGGATAGAGGTGGTGTGGGGATAAAAGATGTAGGATACTGGTGGAGAAAAGATGCTGATAGTTCAGATTAAGTGAGACAACAAGGTGCAGGGCTGGATGAACACAGCAGGCCAAGCAGCATCATAGGAGCAGAGAGGCTGACGTTTCGGGCCTAGACCCTTCATCAGAAAAGGGGGAAGGGGGTTTTGAAATAAATAGGGAGAGAGTGGGAGGCGGATAGAAGAGGGATAGAGGAGAGGATAGGTGGAGAGGAAACAAACAGGTCGAAGAGGCGGGGATGGGGCCAGGAAAGGTGAGTGTAGGTAGGGAGTTAGGAAGGGGATAGGTCAGTCCAGGGAGGACGGACAGGTCATGGGGGCGGGATGAGGTTGGTCGGTAGGAGATGGAGGTGCGGCTTGAGGTGGGAGGAGGAAGAACAGGTTAGGGAGGCAGGGACGAGCTGGACTGGTTTTGGGATGCGGTGGGGGGAGGGGAGATTTTGAAACTTGTGAAATCCACATTGATACCATTGGGCTGCAGGGTTCCCAAGCGGAATATGAGTTGCTGTTCCTGCAACCTTCGGGTGGCATCGTTGTGGCACTGCAGGAGGCCCAGGATGGACATGTCGTCTGAGGAATGGGAGGGGGAGTTGAAATGGTTCGCGACTGGGAGGTGCAGTTGTTTGTTGCGAACCGAGCGTAGGTGTTCCGCAAAGCGGTCCCCGAGTCTCCGCTTGGTTTCCCCGATGTAGAGGAAGCCACACCGGGTACAGCGGATGCAGTATACCACATTGGCAGATGTGCAGGTGAACATCTGCTTGATGTGGAAAGTCTTCTTGGGGCCTGGGATGGGGGTGAGGGAGGAGGTATGGGGGCAGGTGTAGCACTTCCTGCGGTTGCAGGGAAAAGTGCCGAGCGTGGTGGAGCTGGAGGGGAGTGTGGAGCGGACAAGGGAGTCAAGGAGAGAGTTGTCCCTCCGGAAAGCAGATAAAAGGTGGGGAGGGAAAGATGTCTTTGGTGGTGGGGTCGGATTGCAGATGGCGGAAGTGTCGGAGGATGATGCGTTGGATCCGGAGGTTGGTGGGGTGGTACGTGAGGACGAGGGGGATTCTTTTTTGGTTTTTATTGCGTGGACGGGGTGTGAGGGATGAGGTGCGGGAGATGTGGGAGACACGGTTGAGGGAGGGGAGTTACGGTCCTTGAAAAACGAGGACAACTGAGATGTACGGGAGCGGAATGCCTCATCCTGGGAGCAGATGCGGCGGAGGCGAAGGAATTGGGAATAAGGGATAGCATTTTTGCAGGAAGGTGGGTGGGAGGAGGAGTATTCTAGGTAGCTGTGGGAGTCGGTGGGCTTGAAATGAATATCGGTTTCTAGGTGGTTGCCCGATATGGAGACAGAGAGGTCCAGGAAGGGGAGAGAGGTGTTAGAGATGGTCCAGGTAAACTTAAGGTTGGGGTGGAAGGTGTTAGTGAAGTGTATGAACTGTTCGAGCTCCTCGTGGGAGCACGAGGCGGCGCCGATACAGTCATCAATGTAACGGAGGAAGAGG